AAATGATAACTCGGCTCTGTAAAGTTTATTCGATTGAGCCTGTACAAATAAATTAATAAAAAAAAAAAAAAAAAAAAATTTCTCTTCGGACGGCGTGGTGAACAGCAATAGCAGCAGTAGGAAGGTCGTGGCTAGTCCACTCCTTCACACCCAACAAGCAACATTGACTGGTCGTGGAGGAAAAGGTCTGGTAAAGGAGTTGCCAAGCGTCATCGCAAAGTTCTTCGAGATAACCACCATCCGGCGTCTGGCTCGTCGTGGCGGTGTCAAACTTATCTCCGGTCTACGAGGTGTGCTAAAGGTGTTCCTGGAAAATGAGGTCCGTGATGATGTCACCTACACTAAACACGCCAAGCGTAAGCGGCCATGGATGTCATCTACACTTTGAAGCGACTGAGACGCACTCTGTACGGTTTCGAAGGTTAAATCATCACCAACTTTGTCCATATTCAGAACCACACGCCCCCAACGACCACACAAAATGCTCATGAAACCAAACTTGGAAGCAGGGGTATAAATGATTTTAATCGATTCTCTTTATCAAATTTTTCTTTGAATCGCCACGGCCGGATATTTTCGATGGAAGAAGCAACAATCTAGCTTCTAAATCGACGAAGACGGCAGGAACATTTTTGAAGCCAAGTTATTTACGAAAGAGTGAGAGTCGATGAAGAGATTCGATCAATATAGATAGAACTTATTGAAAAGTGACGTGACGAAGACTATCCGAGATTTAGAAAAAAAAACAGAATTGGATTTTTTCCAACTATATGAAACTGAGAAAAATAGTCAAAATGTGGGATTTAGAAAAAAATTCTAGGTTCCCTGATTAAGAATTTTTTTCAAGATTCCAAGTTTGGAAAAATACATTCCCTGGACAATTGTGTGGTCTTGGAAAAATGTTCAGGGTTAATAAGAAGAGAAAAGAAGAACTTGAAGAAAAATTTAACGGAGCTCTGTCAAGAATCTTAAATTAACTCATGACGAACTCTTAGAAGAATTACAAGGGAGTTGTGGGGAAAACATCAAAGAGAATTTCTAGGTGATTCTGAAGAGAATTGTATGCGAATTGTGAGGAGAATAACAGGTGAATTATAAGGCGAATTTAAAAAGAAATGGTTTTCTGATAATAATTTCAAATAAAAATCCAGCTCAGAATTCTAAGGTATTCTGAGGACAATTCCAGAGGTGAGTGTTGCGGAAGTTTAAATAATTTCAAAGGTTTAAGATAATTAAGAGCTGATAAAACAATTTTTGAGCTGAACAAACATATGTTTGCTTGATTAAGCTCAAGTTGTTATTCAACTTTTAATTTTTGTTGGAATAGGTATGTTGAGTTTTCTCGGTTTTCCCGTCAAATTCCCAGCTTTTTCTCGGTTTTCCCGGCTTCTTGACTTCTTTTCAAATTCCCGCTTATTTCCCGGTTCGCAGCCCCCCCTGATTTGCTTCAGTCGTCCCGTTGGAAGCAAACAACCAGAGATGTCGTTGAAAATAAAGCTAACGGTTAGATTCAGCTAGCTGAAAAAAACTGTCAATGTACGAAATTGCAACCTTTATGAAAGCGCTGGATGCAGATTCCACTCAGCGGAAGAAAACTCTACGTTGATCAAGTTCACCAGTTACCAGTTACGACCAGAAGTCCCGGATAAGGATCTATCGTTGGTGCTGGGGAAATACGGTCATGTGAAGCGTGTTATTCGGGAAAAATTCGCAGCTACCTTGGGCCTCGATATGCTGCATGTACACACCCAACCCAAAACTTGATAACTAAAAAAAAAATATAACTCAAAAACGAAGAAAAAACTCATAGCTGATTTTTTTGGTATTTTGTGTAAAAAAGCCTAAATTTTCAAGGGAAAATACAAAAATATATTGCGGCCTCTGTCTACAAACCATGAAAACCATAAAAAAACAAACAAATACAATAAATGTTTTTCAATACAAAATCTCAATTTTAATATCATAATATTTTTCCTAAATAGTATTTTTAATTACTTTTTATTTGATATTACGATCTTTGAAATCGGCCCAGTGGTTCAAATGTTATACACATAGTTATTGATTGAAAATGATTTTTTGGACCGCCCTAACATGGAAATGGTCACCCTACCGACAATATAAAATAATACGGATCTAATGCGACGAGGAACAAAACAACGAAATTCGAAAAACCACTGTATCGTTGTGCTACGGAATGGCTGTATATATCTATATCTGAAAAAAGAATCCAAATTTGGCCAACACCCTCCCTTTATTTACCACAAATTTCATGGTACAAAACAATGTTATTGTAGGTACCTATTTTTATTTCAATTAACCCTGCTTATCGTCCGGTCTATCAAAGCTTTTGCGGCTTCAGGTTTCAGGCGACGAATATCACTCCCAAGATTTTCCCATTTTCATGGCCGTTCATTGGCTTCAGTCAAAGACAACATAACAAGAAGACTGGCACCTCTTCTATTTTCTCATACGACCGCTATGAGACCGACACAAGGTCGTATGAATAAAAGCGTTTACTTTACTTTTCCCGTAAGAAAAGCACGGAAAAGTAAAGGCAACTCTTTTTATTCATACGGCCCAATCGCGTCATCTGCCGCTCAAAGGTAAATGCTTCGAACGATTTGACAGCAAAGATTTACATAGTTGAAGATGCTAATTTCAAATAACAGACTGTAGTGGTAATTTTTATACGATAGATGGAGTAGATGAAAGCATAGAGTTGATAGTTCCGTTAAAGTACGGCAGTGTGAAGATTGCATATAGATATTAGAATAGCGAGCTAGGACAACTTTTAAGGAAAGTACAAATCGGTTTTGACGTAGGACTACGTCTTTGATTTCTATATGGGGGTACACTTTGTGAAAACCGAAAATGGAACATGTAACAAATTAAGAAAGATTTTGAACGTTAATAACTCAGCTGCCCCTGGTCCAATTTCAATAATTTTATCACCAATCGATCAGAAATATGGCTACGCATCGATAACAATGCTTCCAAATGTTGATTTTCAACAAGAAACTATTGAAAAACTGGTAAATGTCCAGCATTGTCCAAAAGCGTCGAATTAACTAACAAATCCACCAATTACCTACATGCATATGCTGCTTCCCCAGCACAGTCGTCAGAGAGTAGTAAGTAGATGAAACAAGTCGAAGTGGCATTCGCCTCCGATCCTCGGGCGCGTGGGAATAGGAAGGGTGGGGTATTTTGCACACTCATCGCCATATTCAGAACCAAACGCAAATTCTTCGAGATAATGAAAAATTCCCGAATTCGAGAAAAGTAAAGCTTGGATTCACTCAGTCTATTGGTACTACTCCGAGACTGAATAAAATTTTCGTCAATTTCCTCATTTTCTGGCAGATTTTTTAGGTTTTCCACTGGAATCCATAAGACAAATTTTACTCATCGCTGAGTTCCTGCACTTTTGGCGATTATGAGTGAACTAAACTCAAATTTGGGTCGTTCTCATTCGCCGTGTACGCAAAAGGAAAAGAGCCAGTGTCGTTACTTGATAGCAAACTACTCATAATGGGAGGAGTCTTTGTAGCTTTTATACCACTTGGTTGCACATCATTCTGCTTTAACCTGAAAAGATATAAAAGAGCGCTGCTCTATGGCATTAGCTTATTTTCGCTTCGGACGGCGTGGTGAACAGCAATAGCATCAGTAGGAAGGTGGTGGCTAGTCCACTCCTTCACACCTAACAAGCAACAATTGACTGGTCGTGGCAAAGGAGGAAAAGGTCTGGTAAAGGAGGCGCCAAGCGTCATCGCAAAGTTCTTCGAGATAACCGCGATCCGTCGTCTAGTTCACCATGGCGGTGTCAAATGTATCTCCGGTCTGATCTACGAGGTGTGCTGAAGTTGTTCCTGGAAAATGAGGTCCGTGATGCTGTCACCTACACTAAACACGCCAAGCGTAAGTGGCCATGGATGTCCTCTTCAATAAAACGGCCATCAAGCTTACAATAGTAAAGAGTTGGAATAGAATTTATCTGTGCTTGTTTATCGATATTCAGAACCACAAGCCCCCAACGACTACACAAAATGCTCTCCAGAGTTGTAATCTTGTAACCAAACTTGGAAGCAGGGGTGCAAGTGATTTTGATTGATTCTCTTAATCAAATTTCTCTTTGAAAAAAAATACTACACATTTGGTACGCCTACAATTCAAAAACGGAAAGAGTTGAGATAATAGATAATTGATCAATTAAAAGAAATAAATGCTCTTCACATTTATTCCGTCCACTAGCGGTCCTACGTCAAGCTTCCGTTCGTGCCGCTAGGCACAGACCCTTCTACTTTTTTCATCTCTTTACCAAAGTCCCCCTTTGGAGAGGGATGGTGAGGGGTATCCCCCCCCCCCCGCCACCACTGGCAAAAGAGATGAAAACCGACCCGCTCAAGTACCACCGTTGGTACTTGAGCGGGTCGGTTTTCATCTCTTTTGCCAGTGGTGGCGGGGGGGGGGATACCCCTCACCATCCCTCTCCAAAGGGGGAGTTTGGTAAAGAGAGATGAAAAAAACCGATTTGTACCTCCCTTAAAAGTTGTCCTAGCTCGCTATTCTAATATCTATATGCAATCTTCACACTGCCGTACTCTAACGGAACTATCAACTCTATGCTTTCATCTACTCCATCTATCGTATAAAAATTACCACTACAGTCTGTTATTTGAAATTAGCATCTTCAACTATGTAAATCGTTGACTTCATGTAGATGTAATACTAAAACATATAGTCAAAGCAAAGATTACAAACTGAGACGAAAGGTTTGTGTCTTTGCTCATTTTTATATGCAGTACTTCCACCTTCACTCGAACGCAGCGCTACTGTATCTGTCGCTTGGATTCTGGAAGAGATGCCAGTCTTCTTGATATGTTGTCTTCGCTTCAGTGCAGCCTCGTCTAATACATCCGGTTTGGACTTTCGGACAAAAACAACACAGTCTCGCATCGATTTTCTTTGAATCTTTATATTCGAATGCTAGTAAATAGTTCTACACTACTCCCAGCGAAAATGCGACCCTCCTCAACTTAAACACTACATATCGGATCCGGCTTAATGCTAATGTTTTAAAATGTACACAACTTTCGGTGCTCCACCCTAGCAAGTAGGTAGAGCAATTTTAAATACACACATTGATTTTGTTTTTTTTTATTATTATAGAACTTGGTTTACTTTCGTTTCTAACGTTAATGAAAGCATGCTTTGTAATGCAGTTCATGTTTGTTTGTAATTATGATTTTGTTCAAGCGATAATTACACGTTCAGAATCGTTTGAAAAGTATATGACCAGTAGTCGGTCTTAATATATAAATCAAACGTGGTGGAGGCTATATTTTCGATTTGTTCTGAATATGAGATCGTCGTTTATCAGGGTTTGTTTCTATATATGTACGTATTGATTTGTTGTTTCCAACGCTTGTAGAAGTATGTCCTACGTTTTTATAAGGATTAAAACGAAAATCGGTAAGCTACCTATGAGTGATTATGGAAGGCAAATGTTAGCATACTAAAGAAGGAGGGGAAATTAATGACCATCACGCGATTATATCCCGTCACTTTGGAGGAAACAATACGAATCTATCGATCGATATACTGTAATGCCACATCTGTATAGGTACTGCCGCTCTTCTCATGTCCGTCCATGGCGAAAATCAGCAAGCCGAGAAAATCGTATTTGAGGCTTGATTCGAACCATTGCTTCTTATGTGATGAGACAACAAATTTGACTGTCTTTTCAAACTTTTTCAGAACAAAGTTATTGAGTTTTCCAGTATTATGCAAATATGGGTGATTAGCTACCATTTGCATTGAAAAACACAGTTTTGACAAAAACTACTATGGGACCGACATGCGAAGAGTTGCAATATAGTTACTGCTCAAGAACAAACTGCATTGCTGAGAGTAACAAAATTAAACAAGCTGCAAACGAACATAGATGACATCCCGAATAAAAATTGAAATGTAAAATCACGTTGTATTAAATACAATCGTTTAAATGTTTTCCCATCTTTACGATGCAATGCAGACCAGCTTAACCTCATTCAAAATATTACGATCGAATAAGTTCGAAATATGGACAACTATTTTGATTGATTCGTAGTGTAAGCGAGATCGTTTGTAGTAAAATTCGTAATTATTTAGAACGAGGACCTACTCTTAAGATCTAAACCGCTCTGGGATCGAGTACAATAATTGCCACATGACGCACATGACTCAAAAGGCGTTTTCGGCTCGGTTCGATACGCCTGCCAATGTCACACGCAACTTCATTATTATTATTGAGCTTTATTTATGATACTTTCAACCTTTGGACTTGACCATTTCGGTTCCACACAAAACTGTGAACCGCTCAAAAATGCCCCACGTTTTAATTTAGAAATCTGCGGAAAAATGTCTTGTTTAAATACAACAAAATTACAATGGGTTACAGTGATAACATTATCAGTACATGGTATGTTGATACTGTAAAGTTTTATTCGGGATGCCCAAACTTAAACTAAAAAAAAATGCAACACACAAAAACGCGAAATCCTGTCGAAAATGCAATGAATGCCATCCATTCTGCGCTTTTCCTTAGGCAAAGCGTTTCTTCTTCTTCCTTAACTTACCGTAACCCTTACCGTACCAACCGGGCTTGACGCGACTCTTCTTGCCGGGCCCTTTGACCGCATTCTCCTTACACGCCAAAGATGGTTCCTTCTCGGCTTTCAATCGTTTCTCCTGCACCTCTCCACGGTCAGTAACTTCCCTCTTTACCAAGGGCTTATCCTCCGAATCATCGGATTCCACCTCACTCTTAATCTCCTCCTTAGAAGTCGATGCAACTGGATCCGCTTCCTCTTTTACTTCTACTTGCTCATCCAAAGGCTTCTTCTCTTCCCCTTGTTCTTCTTCTTCTTTCCTTTCCTCTTTGACCTCTTCCTGTAGTTCTTCCTCTTCGTCGGAGAAATCGCAGCACTCGCAAACGATCATCTTCCCACGTCTCGCCGATTTAATCGCGAATTCCTCCGGTTGCGGGACGTAAAATTGACAAACGTACTGTCGATAGTTTTCGAAGCAGAACTTACACTCGATAGCGACCTCCCGTTTGATCGGTGAGCCGCCCCAAAGGTTCACATTCGGTGGCGGTGGATGGATGATACTGTGCAGTCCGGAGTATGCGTAATTCACGTCGTACCACTGGGGCAGTGTGCCGGATCCTTGCGCCTGAAGCACCTTGCAGTAGTTCAGAATACGTTTAACCTTGTCCTGGGCCGATTCAGCTGTGAGGAGTTGAAGAAATTGATGGTTATAGGGATTAGGTCCTTGATTGATATGCCTAGTATACATTTTTGCGACCAACCAAGCTATGAGTAGAGGAATTGCGGTTGTTCAAATAAAAAAATTGTTCCGTAAGAATGCCTCTATAGAGGGTTACGATATCGGTTGTGCTACGATTACCTAGCGTTAGCGTTGTTATGATATACTTCGTAGATTGGATACTAGCGACACTCACGTCTCTTCTGAAATTCTCAGTTAGACTACTTTCAGGAATAATGCTGGGGAGTAAACATTGGTTCCAATCTAAATAAGAGTAACAGAAGCATGACTGTCGCTATTCCCGGCCACGCCCATCCTTACCATAACTAGGGATATTGAAGGAAATGTTGATGTAGTACTTACTTAACGAGAGGCCACCGACTTAGCGACACCCTCATAAGTGGTACGGAGTTGGAAGGTTGGGAAGGGTATTTGGTTAGGATTCACCCCAAGTTGGCGATGCAACCAAAAGTATGTATTGTTTATTTGTTGTTTATTTAATCTCTCGATAGCCGGCTATCGAAAGAACATATTATTCATTTTGTTTAGTGATCATGAATTTTAAGAGTCATGACGGAGAGCTTGGGATTAAACCCATGATTTTCTGCTCAGTAAGCAAAAACGATTCCTCCAGGGTCATCGAGCATCTCAGAACCATAACGCTTCGCGACAATACAGGACTACGTTTTCGCTTGATATGCAAATAGTTTCCGAGGTTAATGTTCAATATCAAATATACAAATGATGGTGGCGATTTATTGTGCTGTGGAAGAGCTTGGAGTTAAATCCATGATTTTCTGCTCAGTAAGCAAAATCGATCCCTCCAAGGTCATCGAGCATCTCATATTCCACAGCGCTTCGCGTCAAAGTACGAATATATGGACGAAGTATCTATTATTTACGATAATTACATGAAAGAAATAAAATATAAACTACAAACAAAACGTGACAACTAAAATCTCAAAAAGATATTCTCACAAATATATTTCACGCAACCAGGAATCGCAAAACAATTAGACGCTATAATGATACTCTGCACATGTTAGACACAAGAAAAGGTCAAAAAGCAAGCGTCCGACAAACAAAACCCGCCAGATCCACTTGCAGTCACAATCAACGATTCTACGAGCGCTCACGAATCATAAAACCGCCGACTGCGACACTCTGAAAGCGAAATTGACAGGTTCTATGCGTCAAACACCCGCCACCCAATCTCCTCCCGCATCCAACAACGCAAATCTCCATTACAAAATCTAACGAATTCAAAACTCCGAAAATCACTCATCTATAGCTAGTGAGTGGAAGCAACCCTGAATGCAACCATTCTTCACGATACACTTTTTCTGTCTATCTTTCTATTAGGCCTGTGGACATGCGTTAGCTTCGAAACTTCTAACCAAATTGAGAAAATTTTCAGAACAAGAAATAAAAAATTAAAAAAAAACTTTCAAAGGTAATTACAAGTCAATTAAATATTGATTATTTTACGCAAAAACGAGCAAGTAATATTAAATCTCTTGTATCGTATGCTAATGCTAATTGACTGTAACAAAAATAATATGCTTAAATAAAATAAAATATTAATAAAATTATATGCAAAATTTACTAGAAGATCATTACTTTATTGGTGAGAAGATTATAATAAGCCCCTCCAGTTCCTCTGTATACAGAACAAATCTAATACTATAATCAGAATTGCTCAGTCTGCGTGAAGCAGCCGATTTCATCAAGGAAGTTCTATTAACAACCAAGAATTAATCGTTTGAGGCATACTGAAGCATTAAGAAGGTGATATGTGTCACTATAGGAAATCATCATCGTTGCAAATATAAAGCAATTAAACATAACCCTTTGCTTCAGTACCGTCAACCTCCATGTCCATGGGGAGGGCGGTTGTGCTACGATTACCTTAAACGCCATTACTCCGAATGATATTTTGCCTTCTTTTGATTGCTGTCACGTTGTTTTCACATTTAGGGTAGTGGAATTCGGGGTGACGGCGTACGGCGAAATGACGTTCGGGGTAACTTAGCACAATTCCCATATAGGTAAGATTAGTTCAATTATTACGTATCACCCAGGAAAAAATAGGGTTATCCTGACTCTGAATTACATGTCATGTATTACAAAAGTATCTCGAATCACACGTACACTAATGTCGGACCTAAGTCCTTTCTTCTGCTTCTATACGCTCCATCATAATTTGAACAATACTTTATAGAAACAATTCCAGGGTGGTCAGTGAATTTTCATTTTAAAATTTCTGGTATTTTCCTGGTTTATAACTAACTATAACACGTTATTTTCGAGGTACCGTAAAAAAAATAGCGGCGCCGGTGGTGTAGTGGTAAGCGTGATTACCTCTCACCCCAGCAGGCCTGGGTTCAATCCTAGCCGGCGCCGCCAGGCATAACATCTTTAATCACGCCTTCCGTAAAGCCGTTGGTCCCCGGTTCATGAGTTGATGGGTCGATGCGTAGGGTCCAGGTGTGGGAGCTGGCTCCCTGGCGTCGGTAGCATTGGTGCTCAGCACGAAAAACAAGATCGACGGAAAACAAATCAAGGTACCGTAAAACGGGGTATCTTTGATAATGCGGGTAATTTTGATAGTAAAGTATAATGTGGTATAATGATTAAATTTACTATTTGCAATTTCAACAGTCCGCATCGTGCTCTCTTGCCGTGCGGATCTATTTGCTTTTTGCTTAAGGAAGTGTTACTACTACCTAAAGCTACAACAAATTTAAACAGCACTTTTCAGCGCTCAACCTGTAAAAATTTTCTACCTTGTTCAACTCCTCTTATTCCTCTTCGATCCTTGTTTGGACCCTACCCGAGGTAATCCTTCTTGGATATCGATTTGGAAAATTCCTCTTCGATCCTTCAGATTCTTATAGTAATCTGCTTGGAAGTCGATTTGGATAATCGCATAATCGCACTTTTCAGTGCTCAACCTGTAAAAATTTTCTACCTTGTTCAACTCCTCTTATTCCTCTTCGATCCTTGTTTGGACCCTACTCGAGGTAATCCTTCTTGGATATCGATTTGGAAAATTCCTCTTCGATCCTTCAGATTCTTATAGTAATCTGCTTGGAAGTCGATTTGGATAAAAAATTTACTGCCGCCATGGCGCCTAAACGCAAAAGAAAGGGGCAAACTCTTGACCCCCCTTCTGAAGAAATTAATTTGAGTAATCAATTTGATTTGCTCACGGATGATGAGAATGATCCATCATCCAAGAAAAATTCTAGTAAACTTTCCCGGCTTAATGCCAAGAAGGAAAAGATTCCCCCTATTGTGATAACCACTACCGATTTCCATGCTCTTCGCATGGAACTTTTGAATTTCGTGAAAGTTAAGTTTTCACTACAAATTGGACGTCGGGGTGAATGCCGTGTATTGGCTGAAACCTTGGACGGATTTAAATGTCTTCTCAAGTATCTTACTGAGAAGAAGCACAAATTTTTTACTTACGACACCAAAACTGAACGTGTGTTCAAGGTTGTCATGAAAGGACTGCCCAATGGTGAATCCCTGGATCAGATCAAAGATGAACTGGCAAAATTACTTGGAGTTGTGCCACTCCAAGTAATCAAAATGAAAATGAAATCCCGTCCTGGCGATTCGCGCAACGGGATTTCTAATGATTTTTATTTAGTTCACTTCAAGTCTAGTGAACTAAACAACCTTAAGGCCTTAGAAAAAGCTAGCCTTATGCTCCATGTCCGAGTGAAGTGGGAACACTTCAGGAAGACTGGAGGAAATTTTCAAAACCTCACTCAGTGCCGTAAGTGCCAGGGATGGGGTCACGGAACTAAAAATTGCTACATGCCAGCTAAATGCATGAATTGTGGTGATTCCTCTCACGCAAAGGACGACTGTCCTGTGAAGGAAGATCCTAAGAAATTTAAATGTTCAAATTGTGGTGAAAACCACAAATCCAATTTTTGGGAATGTAAGACTCGCAAAGCGATCCTTCAATCTCGTTCTAACCGACAGGTAGGAAACGCTCCACGTTTCCGACCAGGTATAAATTCCTCTGCTGTTAACAACGGTCAGCGAGGAACAAATTCTACATTCGTACCCGTAGGTACAAATATCACCCCTGCTTCAAATGTTTCATCTGTACCTACTCCCCTCGCTGCTAACAATGTTCAGCGAGTTAATGGAGCTACCTATGCTGCTATTGCAGCGGGTAGAAATCAAAATACTAACCAACGTTCTAACGGAAATTTTGACAATTTTGACTTAGGAAGCATTACTGCTCCTAAAATGGAATTTTTACAGAATTCATTAATTGACATGATTTCTGATATGTTTAAATCTAACTCCATGTTTGATGCTATTCAAACTGGAGTAAAATTTGCTAATAATATTGTCATGACTTTAAAATTCAGTAATGGATTTTAAAGCATTAAACATTTTAAATTGGAATGCTCGATCTCTTAAAGATAATGAAGACGAGCTATTTAATTTTTTGAGAGTTCATAACGTGCATATTGCCGTTATAACTGAAACGTTCCTTAAACCTGACCATAAGGTTAAGAAGGACGCAAATTACTTGATTTATAGAAATGATCGTCTTGATGGACCCTGTGGTGGCGTTGCCATCATTATTCATAGACGAATCAGGCATAAAATTCTTTCTTCATTTGAAACCAAAGTTTTTGAAACTTTGGGAGTTTCTGTTGAAACAAAATTTGGACAACTTACGTTTATAGCTGCCTATTTGCCATTCCAATGCGTAGGCCAGCAAAAGAATTTTCTCAAGGGTGACCTCCAGAAACTTACCCGGCATAGGTCTAAATTCTTCATTATTGGTGATTTTAATGCAAAACACCGCTCATGGAATAATGCTCAAAGCAATTCTAATGGTAATATTCTGTTTGATGATTGTTCTGCAGGTTATTACACTATTCAATATCCAAACAGCCCAACATGCTTTTCTTCTGCAAGAAATCCC